AAATTTCTAGGCCATAACACATTCTGCTCCCATTTTCTTTTTATTTTTGACATGGGGAGGTAATCCAAAATGACAGAAAAGACCAAAATGTTACTGGACCCTTTAAAAAAAGCTACCCAGAGCTCACCAAAAAGTTTTTAGCTACTTTGAAAGGAGGGAGACTTACAACAGGTGCTGCAGGCCAGGGACTGTCAGATGTAAGATGACACCCTGCAATGCCATCCTGCCTCTGTTTAAAAGCAATACCTGTTAAAAGAGTTACAACAAGCTCTGTGACAGCGGCTTCAAGTCCTGAGCTTCAGAAGTTGCTAAATTTCCTTATTTGCTCCCTCCCGGAACAGCGGCTTGATTTTCATAAGCTCTGTTGAATTTACATGCAAACAGATCTGACCCGTTTAAAGGGACAGCACGCTGCCGTTGCCCAGGCGCAGGCAGCTCCTTCGGGCTTGTCACTGAGAGGTGACAAGCGGGGAGCCGGGCCCCCTGCTTTGCCGACCGCATGCACATTCACTGCTCTGGGAAGGGGTCGGGTCCGACTCAAGCCCTTCTCAGGGTAAAGCTTCCAGGCAGCAGGCTGTACGTTTCCTTGCAAAGACCGTGTCACAGCAAAAGGAACGGAGGTCAGGACTGTGAGCCCGTTCTGTACGATTTGATCTGGTCCGGAGAGTTTAGGAGCGCACGGAGGGGTGGAAGGGAAGTTGCTGAAACTTCTCCTCCTCTTCACAGATTGCAGGCTTTTATACTCAGATTATCAGGTGCATACTTTCTTGGGTCATTGCTTTTTCCGCCCTGTGTGTTTCCTAATCTCTCTCTCTCTCTCTCTCTCTCTCTCTCTCTCTCTCTCTCTTTCCCCTTCTCTCTCTCCTCCTCCTCCTCTCGTTCTGACAGCTCTCTCTAATCACCTCCCAGCCTGCTGGGAGACCATGCTTGCCACAACTGTACATGTACTTTTTGTTGTTCTCTTTATGAAGGCATTACATTGTGTTACTGATTGTAACCTGCCCAGAGTCCGTTTCTCAGTCACAAGATGTAGCTGCTTCTCGTACAGCAAGGATGAGTCCTGTTTGGATTTGTCTGATATTTTTCAAGTGTGGAGCAGGGAGTAGTGTAAGTAGTTGGTGAAGGATTATTATTTGTATATATTTTTTTGTTGTTTATAATTTTTTAATGTTTGACTTGTGTTTATTTTCCCAAACTGTAGTCATTTTTCTGGATCGCTTCACAGAAGAGAAGCAGTGAAACTGGTACAGAATTTATCCCTCCCTTTTCATAAAGGGCAGTTTGGCACCTCTGCCTGGAAGCAGAATCTGTCCGTTTGGTTATGACAGGCCAGTTATCATTATGATCTTGTTATTGCTCTTGTGCTTTCAGGATATATAGCTGCAGGTTCTTGTTCTCATGTTTCTCAGTCCTACTTTCAAATATAGGAAGGGTTTTTGTTTGTTTTTTTTTTTTTTTTGAGAGACATTTCTTTACTGTGCAATAGCATTTTATGTGAGTAATAATTTTTTCTAGGAAAAAAATGTTCTGAAACACGACTCCAGCTGCAGAGTTATAAATCTCTGAGCTGTGTGAGGAGGACTCAGTGTCAGTAAGCAAAATTAGTTTCTTCTTTTAGTAACAGGAGATATCTGAGGTAAAATAATGTTGATATGAAAGATACTTAAAGATTCCTGTAATCTGTTCTTCTCTAGCAGTTCGGTGACGACAAAGAACATATATATCAATTGTAGTGGGTATTGAAAAAGTGCCCTAAGGTTTGCTGTCCTCAGTTTGATTCATTTTTTTTAAAGTGGAATCCAATGCACGTATTTCCAAGTTTGAAATGGAAAGCCAAAGGCTTGAAAGAAGAGAGAAAGGCCTAATCCACAGTTCTCTCCTTTGATCTTCATGCAGATTGGTGTAGTCCCACAGCTAGAGAGTTTTCTTCCTCTCTCCTCCTGTTCTTCAGAGGACATCTAAAATCCTTTTTCACCAAAATTGCTAGGCATGTTCAGAGTTTCATTCCTACTTGACAAAGCACTGTCCTTATGTGGTTTTTATCAGTGATCACTTGGAGCTTTCACATTTCAGATGACGTCCCAGTCCAGGAGACTGAAGGCTGCTGTCGGTTTTGCTATCTCTGGGAGCCAAAATCCCAATTACTCTGAGCTGTGAGGAGAGCGTCAGAATCGAAGAGGGACACGTTTTTTGAGAAATCAAGGCCAGATGACAGACAGCAATTCTTTCACAGCTCCTCTACATTCAAGGACTCTTTCTCAACACAGGCAAAATAAGGGTTGCACATAAAGGCCAGCAAACTCTGCCAATGCTGATGCTGTAGAAAGGCTGCCTGCCTGCTGCACTGCTGCTGAGGGAGGGGTTGGTGTGCTGGGGATGGTGGCAGTTGCTCGGGAGTGCGCACCTGCCCAACAGCAACAGTCACTGCTCCCTCTTTTCATCCCTCTGCCCTCCTAGCCAGCAATGAGAGAAGTGCTCTGCTCTGTCATCGGTGCTCTGTCTTAGCTCTGCTCTTCCTCCCACCTTTTCTCTGTGGCAAAAAGTGGGCTGCCCTCTTACCCTGGGAACAAATTCCTTCTCAGCTCCAAGGTGCAGGAACATCCATTCACCTTTCTTTATATTTACTGTGTTTTACCTCCTTTCTTTCTCCTCTTCCTCTTCTCTCTGTGCCTACTTTCAGCTTGAGCCTGCTGTTTTGAACTGGCCTCCTTTGCTCAGTTCATCAGTCCTTCTCCCTGTCTTTAGCTTAGTCCTTTGCCCCGTCTTTACCTCAGTCCTTCTCCTTGTCTTTACCTTAGTCCCAGCCGGGTTTTCTGGGCAGCCTTCAAAAAATGGGTCTGTAACCCAAGACCAAAAATGAAGTAACTGTGTGATTGCCTAACTGGGCTGGAGAATGACTTTGTGGATGTGAACAGAAAGAGTGGCCCACAGTTTAGGGAGAACCTTTAAATCTCAGTCCCCTGGTATCAACTTTTCTTTCTTTTTCCAGAACAATTCAGACAGAACTAGGCATTGCTTTAGCTCCATAGACTTGGGTCTTCTGACCCAAGAATAGAGAACAAATGGATCTAATGGAAAAGCAAACCAGTTCACCCAAGAAATATAATCTGATCTTGTGGCCTTTTTGCTTTGAAAGTTTCCATTAAGTTCTGTGGCATTTACCCATTCCAGATTCCCCCAGGCAGAAGGAAAACAAGCAAATGCTTGGAGCAAATGCTTTGTAATAATGTGACAGGATCAATCATGACCAACCGCAAGGATGCAGAGAGTTTTTTTGTTGGTTTTGTGTTGGTCAGATAAAATCCTGTATAAATTTTCCTGAGTCGGTTCTGTTGACTCACTGTGGCAAGCAGAGCTTGTCCTTCAACCAGGATATTTAAAGAAGTGCTAAAAGGAGTGATGTCAATGATGCATTTCCTTGATACTGGCTTATAAATGTCAAATGTAAATTCTGGTTGCTCTGTTTAAAGAAAAACATTTCATTTTAGAAACATGTAGCATTTCAGTAATATGGGAACTAGAGCTCAAAGTCTGCTTTAAAGTCCCAAAGCTGGGTTTGGTTCTGGGGTTTGTTCTGTGGAGTAAAGAGGTATGTGTCAGAAGCATCATTTTAGTTTAGGTCATGTTGTTCAGACCCCTCTCTGCTGTTCTAGCTGCTTTCCTAAAGAAGTGCAGCTTATGAAATCCCGTTTTAGCTGTAGATTTTGCCTAATAATTTTGTGGAATGCACTGATCCATTTTAGTCATCCTTATTAGAGAGGAAAAGGCCTTGGTTCTATTACGTTCCTACACGTTTTGTGAGAGTAAGGAGCTAGGACCTGTTAGCATCCCTATGAAAGGATGCTGTCCCAAGAGCTCTCTCAAAGTGACTTAAAGCTTAATTTGGTGATTCTCCCTCACAATGGGCACCAGGGAATCCAGCCAGGAGACAGAAACTCACAGGAAACCTGAGTTCCTGGGCTCTACTGCTCAGGGGCCGGCGTGGTTGAATCTGTCTGTCAGATACTTACGCCTTTGGGGCAGGAACTCCTTTCCTCACTGCGCAGACTGCTGGCACCTCACACATCATGTATTGTTTTGGCTCAAAATAAATAGCAAGGATTAGCTCCTTCTGCCTTCCTCTTCTACCTGCAGCTCATACCCTTCAGAGTAAGACAGACCTTCCAGACCGTCTCAGCTTTTTTTAGATAAAGTACTTACAGACCTATTCCAAATAATAGGAATTGTTTTGATGGGAACGTTCTCAGAGAAGGCACCGGCTCACTAGTCACCAGCTGTCAGGCTTCTGTCATCTTTCAACCATAATTTACAATTACAATTGAAATATTTTGATTTCTTACGAAACACAGAGAAAATATTGTATTGTCTTAAAGGGAGCTGAAGAGCAGAAGGAGGCGTGGTTGCGCCTTATTTGTTCAGCATTGGTGAGTCATTTCATCTGAATTTCTATGCATTTTAAGAGTTTTGTTTCAAAGGTCCATTGTGTGGCTTTTGGCAACAAATTAAATACCAGTACTATTTGGGTCCTAATTTAGAATTAATTTTAAAACATAATGTAGGGCCTGATTGAAAGCGTATGGAGGTCACTGGAAAGATTCCCAAGGATTTCAGTGGGCTTTGGATGAGGGTCTTAAAGAATCCACAAATATCTGTCTATTTTTCTTCATTGGTTTTATTTTTTGTTGGGAAGACAAGCATTATGTTTTCAGAATCATTTAGCAGTTTTGGACCTTTCATTTCTCCAAGCTAAAACTGAGCAGGGGAAGAAGAAATGCTGTTATAAAGAAAATCATCAAGCTATGAGGACAGGGTTTCTTGACTCTTCTGGCTTGGATCTACTGTACTGCAAGCTAACACTGCAGATCAGTAAGCTGCTGGGGGATGGACTCAAAGATCCAAAAGGCAATTTCCATCATTTCTGATATATCTTATTCCCTGAAATCTGATTTTTTGAGTGTCAGATATAAATGGGGATGCATACAATGTAGAGTTTGACTCACGATCCGTTTGCAAAATGAAGCCCATATTGCGTTTTCGGAGGGGCTGGCAAGGAACAGACCCTCTCAGGTTTGCGTGGAGGTTCAAGTTCATAAATCCAAGCTTTCAAAGAAATATTTTGCTCTAGTCTCTGAGGTGCTCCTACTTACAGTCTTTGGGAAGATTGTAACTTTACTGTGTCTTGGGCATAATGATTCACTCATTCTGTCTCCAGATGATGCTGCCGCCCACTGAGCCTTTCTCTTGTTGCTTCTCCTTCACGGTTCTAGAAGAGGCTACTATGTGTCCAGTCAAAAGAGGTTTTTTGTTTTTTTTTTTTTTTTTTGGCAAAGGCAGAAAACAGCCCCAGAGTCTCTCTTAACACAGTCGTACCTCTTGTCAGCATCCTAGGATAGGAGGGACTTTTCCGCTGTAATAGTTCCATATTAAATCACAGGACAAGTATTTACCCATAAGGCTTCATGGAATGGCTGAGGGAAGTATAGCTGACTACAGCATGGAGTTTTCTACAGACTGAAATCTTCAGGGATCAGCAATAGTTTACTCCTTCCTAACATGTACTTTGCTTGCTAAGGAACTCCTGTGTACTTTTATCCAGGCCTACCAAGTGTTGTATGCTACCCCTTCCCGTTGATTTTGTGTAGAGGCAGTGAAGTGTGCACACGGAGAGAGTGAGAGGGAGAGAAAAAGAAGGAGACAGAGTGAGTGGAAAAAAAGGAAATGCATAGGGATCTTTCTGATTTCCTTAGAAAGCTATGGCAATAAAAGAAAAATAAGCGTTACTCCTAGAAGACAGCAAAAGGGAATAGGAAACTGTTGATTTGAAGGAAACAGAACAGCCACGGGAGGGTATGGCAGAGAGAACAGGCAGCTGGTCTGTGACTGCAGGATTCATGGATTTTCCCAGTCTACAAAAAATTTAATACACAGAACTCCAATCCAGGTTGATTGGGATGGATAGGAAGAGGTTAGGTGGTACCTGGAGAAACGATGCTCACTTGGTGAATATGGCACCACAAAGTTACAGAAGGTCCGTATTTTCTTTGTGAAGTCTTGTTTTTGTTTTTCTGAAAAGGGCTCGTGGCTTGGCTTCTTGTGCGTGCTGTTGTTCACTGAATAAACCCTGCTCTTGCCATATGCTCACATACTAGCTTTTGACTGAGTCCTTAGGCGGAATTATTTTCTGGCTCACCTGAGTCCCTTATTCTGGCTTGGGTGGAACCAAGCTCTTGCTTAATTTGACTCTCAGATTTAGCAGGTAATGACAGCTAGGGTCAGTAAGATACCTATGATCCATGAGGTATGATTGTGAGGGAAAAGTTAAGCTCAGTAGCTTCCTTAGGAAAGCACACATGTTGATAAAACAATTCATGAGAGACTGGACAGAGTTTTTCATCACTAATGCCTGCTTTGATTGCCATAGTATCCAAAAAGCATTTTTACTTATAACTTAAGCATTTTCTTGTTGAAGGCTTAATCCTCCAGCTGTCTCACCAAGGCCAGTGAAAATAAGTTGCTCCGTTAGCAGCAGGCTGATTAGCTCTCCAGTATATGTCTGCTGCCTCTTCAGCAGCCTATTTACTTTTAGCATGAAAAAGGGACTGAGTTGGAAGTGACAGCTCTTATTTTGGCCTATCTACTTGGGCTTCAAGGAACTTCTAGGAACTTTATTTCTTTGAGACCTCTTCCCCTCAGGTTTGAAATCGGCCAGTGAGCTCAAAAGTTGTTGAGTAAGGGAACGGTGGATGGACAAAAAGCACGGTCACGTAAGCTTCATTCCTTCAGAAATGGCGGTCTGAAAACTCAGGGTCTGATTTTAAGAGAAGAAATGGCTTTGGAAGCTCTGAAACCAAACTAAACATTTGGAATTGGAGAGCTGAAACTCTATTTTTTCCGAGTGAGCATCTATTTCCACCTCAAAAAGGTACAGATAACACCAATTTATGAGAAAATGTCCCAAATTAAAAATAAGAAGATTGTGCAAGAATTCGTTTCCTTGCATGGTAAGCCAGCTTTTCATGACGTCTTCATGGAAGTGTGAATCTTCAGCCCGTGCTGGAGGACTTTAAGGGGACTCAAGAAATGTTTACAGCCCACAGGGCAAACAAAAGGATAAAGTTAGTAGGATGGCAGTCACAGGCAAGGAGGATGAGTGTTCACAGGAGTAGTGGAAAAGGCATATCTGAAAGACCAAGCAACAGAGGGAAACTGAGTCAAATTAGCCACTATGCAAAAAAGCATACATGAAGCAAGTAAACATCTTTATGTATATCTTGCTGAGCGAAGTTGTTATGCTCATTATTCAACGGTAAGTAGAATAAACAATGCTTCTCTCCAAGGGCATTTCTTTTTGATAAAAGGCTGTAAGATTAAGTCTTTCTAGAATGACTCAGACTGTATGCTTACAAGACACTTTGTCAGTGACAAAGAATAAAGTGTTGGGAAAATAACGGTAGTTTTGGAACACGGCGTGGAGTTGGAACATGAGTGTAGAACATTTTGCCCTCTCTCCCGACTATTAATTCTAAAAGTTCTTTCTACAGAAGTAACTTGAAGACCACCGAGGTAAGAGACTAAAGAGAGTTATGGGAGGCAGATCCCTGCTTCCGTGAACAGAGCCAAACTCATGCTGTCACATCTACTCGCACAGTGCAGCCCTGAAAGCAGTGATTATGCAGTAACTCTGAACAGCGTTGCCTGCGGAGTAGTTGCCTCTAAAGGCCAGTGGAGGATATGTCATGGGGAGGAACGGAAACTTAGGGGGTAATTTTTCTTCAACACTTCCTCCACAAACCAGTGGAGAAATACTGCATCTAGATCCCAAATAACAATTAATGCCATATGGATGCTTCTAGTGGTGTTTGTAGTAGAGTTTATCAATGATTCAGTTATCACTGCATGAAATCTCTTCTTTCAAACCTGTCAATCTTGCGTGTGTATTTTTAATGCCTGTTGGCACAATTCTTGGAAAAACTGTGGGAGCTGATGCAGATTTACCAAATGGATTAGCCATTTGGGACTCCCACAACAGTAAAGGTGCTATTTCAAGCTATTTTGATCTAAAGGGGATTCCTGTATCTTAAAAGCCAGCTAGCGAATTGCTGCACTAATTAAGCTAGATTGAACTATGCACAGTAACCAGTATAATTAAATATGTATATAAGGACCTGATTCTGAGCATCCTTGAGCGCTGTGTGCTACTCAGCTTCAGGCCCTAAAAATGTTACGTTGCAAAGCTGCTATTTTGCCAAAAGGCATTATGTCAGTCAGTGCTGAGATTGCATTCACTATGTGCTAGGCACTGGAGTAACAGTTCACACTGTTCTTCTGGTTAGTGCTTCCATATGGTGAAATTCATGCCAGTGAAGTGGGGTTGGGCGGAATATACACATTGCTTTAATCTAACTCTGACAACTACAAAAGGGCTTTAAGGCCTTGTGTCAGTGTCCGGCACTAAAAGGAATGAATCCAGTGAATTCTAGTGCCTTGTATCGTCTTGTACCATACGCAGGAGACTTAACACATTTCTCAGCTGAACACTTCCAGACTTGGTGGTGGGCATATTTTTTTTTAAACCGCAATATTCTAAGTTCCCAGTTTTTCCATGTTTTTTAGAGGGGGAAAAAAAAAGTTTTTTTTCTCAATTTCAATGCCTTTAGGTTCATGACAATTGCTACCATTAGCATTGTTTTTCAAAGTAATAACACCAAGAGCAAATGTTGAGTATAAAAATTACGACATTTTAAGAGTTCTCTTTTACACAAAGAGGTATCTATTTACAACCTTAACTCTCTTTGGCCAGTTATTTTGTCTGTCCTTGTTGTTACAGTTTATCAGTCCTCCTTTGAAACAATAAGTGATCAGTAAGGCTTAAAGCTTTGTCCAGCTGCTCAGTCTCACTGTTTTGTGTGCTTTTTTGGTGCTGTGTTTTTAGCTGAAGTTCTTTGTCATCACAGTTGATGCTGTGACTAATTTGGCTAATTCTAGAAGAAAGGATTACGCTTGGATTTTGCACTGGTAATTTGAATTTCAGTAAAAAGTTACAATGAATGAGTAGTCTGGGTTATGCAGACAGTTGGGTGGGATGATACCTTCTGGCCTTCAAATCCATGGAATCTGTTTATTGCCATATGATTCAGTCTTAACTTCTGAGCCCGTCTAACGTCTTTTAGATGATTTTGTATGCGGAGCACCACATACAATGCCTGTGAATGTGTGCCTTGGATAAATGGGAAAGCTCCTAGTGGAGCTTTCACACAGTGAGGTAGAGATGTTACTGGTATACGGCAGTGTTGCCAAGTTTTTCCAATTTAGTCACATCTTACAATAGCTGTCATTTTTTTAAGTTTCAAATTGTTTTAAGGAAGAAACACATTTATTATATTTGAACAAAGAAAGAGAAAGTCTATAGTCCTCCTAATTGCAGAGTGAAGCTTGAGAAGGTGACTGCCATGGCTAACCCCCCCATCAAGCAAGAACCCACCATTATGTGTAAAACCTTAAGTCCTCTAAGGATTTCTGTAGGGTCTACTTAAGATGCTTTGTGCTCGGCGTAAGAAACCCCGTAACTCTCAGGTCTTCTGGTTTGCCTGGCGAGGTGCGCGCCAGAGCCGTGGCCCGGCTCCACCCTGGGTGAGTCGTGGTTGTGCTCTAGCCCTCTCTGTGCCCTGCTTTGCACAGGAAGGAAATCTCCAGGTGTGCTGGCCGGGGAGGCCTTGGGGAGTACTTCCGCAAGTGGGGAACCAGTACTTAAAGGTGTGTTGTAGCACCGCAAGTTAGTCCAGCCTTTAGCCTTTAGCTCCCAAATTCAATTTGTTTGTTTTTTTTTTTTTGAGAGAGAGATTTCCTCAGAATTTGCAACTAACAGATAATAACTAATTAAAGGCAAAGCAGGAGAGATGTGAATGACAAATAGCGCCCTGGAGTGCCTGCAGCCCAGACGACGTGCTGGGCCGGTGCCTGAAAGTGACACAACCCTGCTGTCTGCTTTGGACGGTGACACAACCCTGCTGTCTATTTTGGATGACCTGATTTAATTACCCTGCTTGAGGGAAATGCAGAAAAGGAAGCACGCTTCAGAAAGAGTGACAGACCCATTCAACTGTTACAATGCCCTCTCTCCCCATAATCACAGCCGTTATTAGTTCTACAGATAAGAAGGTATTTTTTCCCCTAACCTTACGTCGTCATTCAGTCATTCAGCTGAGTTTGCTGCCTCGAGGGAAGTGTGCTTCTGCGGAGGACTTGGTAAACAATATAGGGGTACCTGTGGTCTCCAGAGGAGGGAGCTTTGTGCCGGGGTGACTACGGGGCCGTGCTGCCCAGGGAGCAGCAGGGAAGCAGCTTCTGCGCAGGCACCGCTCCGGGCCCGAGGTGAGAGGTAGCGGCTGCCGAGGGAACTTCACTGCCTCTCCTAGCCTGACCCTCCAGGTGGGCACCGGCCGGCAGAGCCCTAGCGCCTGGAAGAGGGGCCAGCGTGAGGAGAGGAAAAAAAAGCCGGAGTTTGTCGGGGAAGAAACAAGAGGGAATTGTGACTTCTTGAGTCTGCATCCCTTTCCACGGCTGGCTGTGGGCTGCCCCCTCTAGCACCACCCTTCATAAAGGGCTGGCCGGGCAGCCTGGGCATACGCGGTCTGTGGGTATAGTAAGGAAAAAAAAAAAAGCGCAGGGTGACACGGTCCGCATGTGAGGCAAGCAATCCAGATGCTAGTACGTCACCACTTCTCTTATCAAAGGTTAACAGCCAATTTCCATTACTATTTTTGTCCTTTATTGTGTGCAAATATGCAAGGATTTTAATAACAGCAGTGTCACTGTAAAAGCCACTGGGAAGACCCGAGAGCATGATATCTGATTTTCACCCGTCCATCTCATGCTGTTTCCACAAGTGAACCATATTGCTTATACAAAATCAGAGCAAACTTTTTTTAAAAAGGATTTTTTTAAAGGATTGAATAGTTGCAATTGTTAGAAAAAGGTGGCTTAGATACTGGATTAGGAATTTGCAGGATCAAAGTAGCAGTTAAGATGCCAGGGAACTCATCCAAATCGCAACATAGCCGATATTCTGTAGGGAACACTGTGCTGTTTTGTATACAGCCCTCTTGCGTCCAAGTAACTTAAAACCTGAAGAATTGAAATGATTACAAATATCAGACTAAATCTTTCAAGGCGTTGAGTGCCTCCAACTCACCTGGGGCTGAATACTCCTTTACCCTGTGGCCCCTTCTGCTCTGAAGGCAGTGTAAAAGGCATTCAGCCCCAGTAAATGCCACTGGGGGCCCCTGTACAGTATCAGACCACAGCAAAGTAGCTTGGGTGCAGCTGGGCATTGGGCCCATTTTCATGGCAATACTCAGCACTTTTTAGCGGCAGGCTCATGAGGGGTGGCTCTGGCAGGAAGGCTCGATATTTGTGATTTCGATCACGTAGAAAATGTAGAGGATAGATTCTGCCAATTTTGTTTAATCTGTAAGAAGCCTCAGCAGTATCTGCAGGGCTGTTCCCCTGAGATCCAGATGCAAACATAGGACATGAAATTCTGTCCATCCTGAATTCAGTGGCAATGCTCAGATTGAGTTCGACGAGGTGAGGAACTCACCTGCACCTTTGGTACATTGGAGGATGCCCTACAAATCTTTTTTTCATGACAAATAAAGCAGCAGAAGCTCTTAGTACTTTCTCCTTACTGAATAAGTTGGTTTTGGAAGGTTTTGTTTTGTTTTTCTTTGCCTTGAATGTGGATGACCTTGCTGTTCTAGAAGCTGAGGATTGATTTTAGAGAGAACTATATAGAATTTAATGAATGTATGAGAATAAAATAAAACCGTTCAAAATAGAGTTATCGTATACACATGAATAGAAAGTTTGATTAACGGTGAAAGAGTTGGGGAAAAGATTTGCTTTGATTGCAGTACATTGGGTTGTCATAAAAATGGTTTGTGTCTAATTTCTGTGGGTTTACTTTAAGTATAGGACATGGAAGGATCTTGTTTCACTTGTAGACTCATATTCCCATGTCCTTTGTCTTTCCTGTCTTGCGCAAATCTTCCATTCATCCACACATGTTCTCTACTTCAAGACAGATTTCAACCAGGTGTGATGGAGGGGTAGAGATTACAAAGTTTCACAAATATAGGTGAGGAAAGTCTTTGAATTAAATCACCCCTAATAATTTTCAATCACAATGTCTAACTAGTAGTGGTCAAAGGTAGCAGCCTGCATGTTGCTGCCACAGTATTTTGCAGAAGAACAGAGAGAAGGACAGGAGGAGGTAGTTTTACAGGTATTTGTGGTGATAAGAAAAATCCTGGCGAAAAGTCAATACAGAATGAAACACAAATCAGAAAAAGAGATTTCATTACCTCTGCTGCTCATGGGACTACTCTTTAGAAGATGCAAGCGGATGGTACATGTGGACAGCCGCACACAGATCCTACCTCTCCCTCTCCTGGTAACACTGACAAATTCTCTAGTAAATACAAAATTCTATATATTTTAGTTTGTTTTTTTTCTATCTGAGCGTCCAGCGACTGTATTGTCCAGCATTTATGGGCTGCCTTTCTTCTCAGTTATCCTAGCATGTGATTCAACTGTATACAGAGAATCATTTTAATCATCACTTGTGTGAGGACAGTTACCTAGGGACCTGGAAATACAAAATGTCAATTTAAGGCAAACGGCAGAGAATACCTTAACCAACTGGAATGAAGGAGTCTAGGCCACAAAAACAAGTAATAGCCCTTCCTACTTTTGAGAACATGGGATTGTCAGTAACCACAGTCACAAGGGCCGGAGCCCATTTGTTGTCTGTGAAATTACATCCCCGGCACCGTGCTCCTGCTGCAGTACGGGTACAGCTCTGACTCATTGCCGCTTACTGGATCACAGTGCTGCGACCTGTTGTTTTTCAGGCCTGACGTAAAGGTTGACCCATTCATAGAACCACGCGGTGTGGCAACGGGCCATACGTCCAACCTTGACTACGGTGCCCTTTCCAGAGACTGATTGTGGTTTTCGTATTACCTAATGAGCTTATCATTTCCTGTACTAGTTGTAACACAGCTAAATATTTTCTAGGTTACCTAACCAAACTTCTGCAAAATCACACTGCCTACGCCTGCGATGGGGAGCGTTTGAGTCTGCACTGTCCTCGGCATTCAACAATAAGTGTTCAGTCAGCGTTTTACGGGCAAGACTACCAGATGTGTAGTACCCAGCAGCCTGAAACCAGGATGACAGAACCCATAAACTGTGTGGCACCCACCTCTTTGCAGGTATCACATGTTGTAAAGGTTCTTGATGCAAAATGTTTTTAAAGATTTCCATGTGGTGAGCTATGCTGTATGAAAAAAATGCAAGTATGCACAACGTTGAATGAAATGACATCATACTCCTGTCTGTTTATCATGCAAAGTATTACACGAGGAGTTCATCTGACCAGCAGGAGGAATCAATCACATGCCTGTCAATATATCGTTAGGCTTGTGAAAAGCTTTGTAGTTTTCCTACTATTTTGGTAAGCCTTACTTTGAAAACCCCGTTCTCAATGGTCTTTAGTGTAATCAGTTCCCTTCTAATCAAGGACTGGGTCATGACGGAAGTAGGCCAGCCTTAATCCATCACACAGGCCCTCCTTATCCCCAGGAGACGATACACACCTGGCATGGCTGGGTTACAAGTGCACTGAGAGTAGTGGCATTCTGTTCTGTTCCATGCATATCTTCAGTCAGAGAAAAGGCCCAGTCACAGCTAAATAGCAGATCCTAAGCACTTCTGCAGCCACCTACGTTTCCATGAGTAGAGGGCTTTTATCAGTAGTACCCTGTGGTTTGCTTCCTGGGCCTTACGCTTTATAAATTGGTACTTTCTGCTGTGGAGACTTTTTAACAAGGCTTAGAAGGTCTGGCTTACAGTGTGTTTCATTGTAGCGAAAAGGTCCAGTCTCAGGCCCAATTCAGCAAATCGTTGCAAAAAATAGAAAGTCGGTGGGATCTGAACACGTTCTATCAGTGAAGCTGTTGTAAGTGCTTTACCGAAACTTTCCTTCCTTGAAACATTTGTGCTTGTAGCTGGCACATTGCTTCTTGACAACAGGGTTTCTCTGTTCCCGCTACTAGTGAGTTGAAGGCTTTAACAAAGTGGTTTGGGTGTAATGTCCTCTCTCCAGAAACAATGGTAGGGCAGCTTTTTAAGTGTGCCTTGCACATGCTGTACTGCAGCTTCTAAAGACATTCCAGACATGACCTGTGGGCCATGTGAAAGTACAGCTCTCCACTACAAACTGTAGGCCAGATGCATCCTTGATGTCATTTTACTGACTACAGAGGGGTGACACCAAAGATTATTTTTGGGACTGTGAGTCTTGAGTGCCTTTGTGAAGTCTCCATGGACAGTTTTTTTCCCTTGGGTATAATAAACACAGCATGGGATAACTGTTGTATAAACGATCATCAACATTCAGGCACTGTGAGTGATCAAAGACGTGAAAGCATTTTGACAAGGCCACAAACGTGAGAGAGACGAATGCTCTGCATCTCGGGGATTTCCGGTTCTGTCAAGGAGAAGAGATATGTCCTGTAAACTGATTTCTTAGAAAAGAGCACCAGTGATCTCATCCTCCCCCCCGCCCCCCGCTTTCCCTTTGTAACCGTATCTGCAATCTGCATAATCAGGCATGATGCTATCCTGCAGTCAGGAGGAAGCATAACAGGCATTTTATACAGTGACCTCTTATTAAAAGGATCACGGCAAAGTTCGATCTGTTCCGAGATATTAATAGCCCAATGCTATCTCAGTGGGGTTATCATTGTTTGCTTTCATGGCTGCGTTTTTTTGCACAGCAACACAATAGAAAATGTGACTGCTCTTTGCATTAATAAAGGAAAATACAAACATGCACAAGAGATGATTCAGCTCAGGTGCAAAGAGAAGGTGATTCAGTAGGGGACAGCTATCCCCGCTTACTCCTGATGTAACTTTTACCTGGCCTATTCCAGAACAATCCTAAATTAAGGAGGAGTTATTTGTTTGACTTGCAACATTTTAAAAGAAGAACTGAGTGATCAAATTAAGTCTGCTGTGCTTTTTCCTCCCTTTTAAGCTCTTTAACATGCACTTAATCCTCAAAAAGTGTTGGATGCAAGCCTTCTGTGGAGGGGAACAAAAAGATGAGAGAGTTATAGGATCACTGCAATGTGCTGCCAATGTGTATCATTCTGCTCGAGAGGGATGGCTTCCAGGGATGAGAGAGGACAGTCAACCGCTGCCAACTCTCTGAGCCTGGAAACAAGAGTGTAGCTTGCGCTAACCACAGTGGTAACTTTGTGATTTGGCCTCTTGGCATGACTGAGACCCCTTCTGATGAGAAATCAGAAAAATTGCCCCTGGATTTTATGGGGTACCTGAAACTGTCACAGAATAGTACCTTACAGCTACTCCTGTTATGGTTTGCGTGACCTAGAGACACTCCATATCACAGTCTGCAGTGATTTCAATCATCAAGAATCATGGACACAACACGAATTACTCAAAAATAGTGTATACGACGCCCTCTCTAAATTGAGTTTTGAATGTGAACAGCAATTTCATAAGTACATTGCTTACCCATTTAAACTCTTTTCTTGAATGCTTTGGCTTCTGACTGTGTTAAAACAGGCCTCAGACTCACCTCCGACAACACTGTTACTTTTTCCCACTTTCACTATCATTGCTGCAGCTCCAAAAGCTCTGATGCAGTAGGAACGCTAGTGTGAGCAAGCTTCTGGCACTATGAGTCCTCAGTCCTTTTGCTGGCCTCAGAGCAGGTCCACATGACACGTGGTGGCCTTTCTGCTGTCCTCCTTCCATTGCCACTCCCAATGAAGCATGGTATATTGCTGGGCAAAAAAAATCTGGGGTAGATGTGGCCTTAAAATAGCATTTTAGCAAATGAAGCAGACTTAGGACAGACAGACACACATTTGTACCAGCCGGTCAAAACAATTCTGAAATTGGTTCTAGCAGCAAGTCAAGTAAATACTTAATCACGTGTATAACTGCAAGCAAGAAAAGTCCCCTACTGAGCACCCACTAGGTGCATGCTTGAGTATAGCTAAGCACACCAAGTCTAGAACTCTTCCAAGTTAAGGTCTTACAGGGCATGGTGGACTTAAGCGAGATGAAATGGTTAAAAAGTCACCTTTTTGAGTTGTTTGTTGCCACCCTTCAGCTGCATGTTGCACTCCCATGCATACTGTCAGGAAGACGCATGTGTGCCGCAGGTGCGTCGGTGAAAAGACTGGAGGCTGAGTGTGCTCTCACCTGTTTTGGGCTCTGTTCTGAGTGCAAAACACCACTGAGGTGGTGGGCACGTAGTGCGATTTGACTGCTTCATTGGTGATGGAGAGAAAAGTAACAAAACTCAGCAAACTGATAACATCCTAAGTTGCCATGGATATTGCTGCTATGAATGTATGTGTATGTGTAAACTCATCATGTATGTGTATGTGTAAACTCATCCAGGGCTCAAAGTCCAGTAGAGATGTGGCCTCGATCCTGTGATGCAACCGTTACCTATGTTTTTATGGCCAAAAAAATTGTGAAAGAATGATTTCTCTCATGTATAGAGCAAAGTATGATTAAGTGTTCTCATTGCTATATAGCCTCATATCTTGTTTTCAAGACTATCCTTTTTGCCCATTGTTCTAGAAAGTACTGGATGAATGCCAAAACCTGAGATCCTGCCAACTCCTTGTCAATAGTCGGGTTTTTGGACCTGATCTATGTCCAGGAACCACTAAATTCCTCCTTGTCTCCTTTAAATGCAAACCTAGTAAGTAATCCACATCAGGCAAATGTGTTTCTGTGTGTGTTTCATTGTTTGTTTTGGTTAGAATGCCACTGCACAGGGCTTTGCATAAATCCGTGTGAAGTTTTGAGACTCTTAGATTAATAGCAACTTTTTTTTTTCCTATTATACCATAGCTCTCTATTGTGCTTACAACTTCAGTGTGCTTGCTCCAATTTAATGACCAGTGTAATTTGTCAAAATCAAATGTCAAACATCAGACTAGAAGGGAAAAATGTTTTGGAAATTATGTTTATAGACGTGGCAATGGTGAGGTAGAAAGGTAGAGGTAAATAGCAAAAAGCTTGCTTGCTTGCTTGCTTGCACTAAGGACCCAAGATTAATGAGATTATACCATAATAAGGAATATGCAAAAATGCCTAACAAGGTAGAACCAAACCTTAGACACTTTCAAAGATCCTCTGTCACTGCCTGCTGTTTCTGGAATAATCACTGGGTGATACACATGCATTGGCTGTTTTTAATATAGAATTACCTGTATTTTCTACAGGTGATTGACATTGATAAAGGGACAAATCCCGCCTCAAAGATAATGCACTTTTTAAACATGAGAAGAGCGTTAGCAGGGTTAAGACAGACAGCCATGATGAAGTTTCATTTATTGGTGGTTTTTAATTGTTATTTTTGTTGTTGTTGCAATTATACTTGAGAACAAGCCTCAGTTGCCCAGGCGCTCAGCTTGCTTTGGCAGCTAATCTCCAGTGTGGCAGAAATGGGTCCCAAAGAAAATATTTGAATGATGATTTATGGGTAGGTTTGCAAGCCAACTCAGAAATACCATCCCACAGCTGAAGGAGAAAGCACAAAAGGTATTTTCTTTAATCAGAGCATTAAGATTGACATCACTGGTGGAACAGGAACAGAGGTGGCATAGCAAACTGAAGGGCCAATTTATGCAGAGTAATGAAGTAAAAGCAAAAATACTGGAACGGTGTAGGCAGTTCTTGCCTTTGGCAAAGCACTGGCACATGATTCCCAGAGAGATTTACTGGGCGAATCTTCAGAAAAATAAAAATGTGTCCAAACTTAACATTTTAATGATCTGCATTATTTTACAGTTTACAGATTTCCTTTCCAGGTTATAATTTCTGCATTGTTAATAGTATCTGCATTTGCGTATCGTAGCTGTACCTGTATCATTAGAAATCTCTCTTTACTAATAAGTAGCGGGTTGTGATCCTCTGTTACTTTTTTAAGGCACTTAGTATTTTGCCCACTGCAAATGAGCTATTTTCAATATATAATACTGTGTGATCTGAATTTTACCAAAGTTGGTCAAAAGTATATTTAACAGCAAGTTCTGCCTTCAGAATTGAGGGAGATGGCCAGTTGCAGTGCAAATTACGTGACCTCATTTGACAGGAAATTTATATTCCTAAGTATGATACTAAGATTGTTAGGCCTAACTGTAGAAAACATCCTCACTCAGGAAATCACTTGAGTATAACTTGAAGCATATGCTAGAATCTCCTTGCCTTCAAGCAGACACTTGAGCGATTTCCTGAATCCCTTAGTTTTTCCTCTCATGTAGAAAGGTGGTGTTTTTGTTTGTTGCTCTATCTCTGCAGATGTCTCTGTTGTATTTTTATCCTTGTCTTGCCCTATATCACTTGAGGGTTTGTTTCTTTTGTCTGTACTTCCACAGCCTCTCCTGCAACTTACAGAGCACAGCTGTGCAGACACACAGCCCAGCTTTAGGCTGTCAGCCCTTGTGTCAGAGCGCCTGTTTCCTCGGCACGATCTTCGTGGGGTACAGCACAAAGCCCTACTTCTGCAGAAGTAGCAATCTGCAGCAGGTCAAGTGTTTTTAAAAAAGCTGTGAGGGCTGAAGAGCTCAGGTGGAAGGAACTGGACCATTACCATTAAAAATTAAGCCATTCTTCTTTTTATTCTGTTCTAAGTGAACCGATTATGTTTTCTTCATTGAATAGATAGAGTTTTTCCTCTCTCCAGTTCCTTTAGCACCAACACCCGCAGTCCACTCACAGCAATACCAGTCGGTAACAATAAGATTTCCCTTTGTCCCTGCTTGGCTCAGGAACCTCCTTTTCCTGTTTTCACATTTCTGAAAGACATGAAATGGAGCAGACTAAACTCTTCTCCCCGGTCTTATCCACACTAAAAAGGGTTTGCCACCATACCTAAGCCAGGAGGACTTGAGTGGTAAAGGCTACAAGCAAAGAGGCTGCTTAGATGAGAAAGACACCTCTTTGGCCAGGCAGCAGATTTTAACCAGAGGTCCCCTAGGTGGGATAAACCCTGCTGTCTAAAAGATAATCTCACTGATTTACCTGCCTCTGTGCTGAGGACATTGCCTGTGTGCCTATGCCAGCTGGGAAAGGGAGAGGGTGTATTTTTCTCAGGCTCCCGATTCCCGTTGCTTTGTCAGCAAGACTTTCAAATGAGCCCTTGCCGGAGAGTCCCGCCCAGGGAAACCCACTGACCTTGGTGGAGCGAGGCGGATGTAGCCGAGACCACAGTCTGGCTCAGGGTATCTAGCCCATCCCCATGCTTTTGTGCCTCCTATTCTTCAGCGCTCGCTCTGTGCCGCGCGCGGTGGCACTGGGCGCTGCCAGCCACCCCCATGATTGATGAGCGGTCTGAGTCTCTCAGCACTTGGGCAGACGTTTAAAATAGGCGTAGAATGCAACATTGTCCTTGGGAGAAACAAAAGGGAAGCATGAGGTTTCTTGTACTGAACGGCTGTGGAAAGCAGGCCAGGAAATCAGGCAGGATCAGGGGAGGCTGTTCTGCTGGGAGAGGAGGCTGGCAAAAGTTAATTTTTTAATTCGTTTTAAAAAGGAGCTGGAGGCTTTGGATAGTCATAAGGGAACAATTGAGTTGGAGGAAACACTCCATGTTGCTATTGGCTTTGTCTCTGGTTGTAATTGTGCCACATTTCGCTCACAACAGAACTTACAGAAAGGCTGTTTTCTCTCATGCTGCTATATGCTATTAACAGTCCAGCTGAGTAAATTGCCTCATGCTACCGTGTTGTTACTTGCTTCTATTTTAGCTGAATACAAAACCAAATCAGCATGTGAAAACCAGGAACTGAAACTCCACTGTCAGGAGTCAAAGTTCCTTATCATCTACTCCGCCACCTATGGCAGATCGGCACAGGAAGAGAACATCTGCTCGACAGAAATGGAGCGCGTCCCCCCCTTCGGTAGGTTTTTACGCTGTCGATACAACTTTTTTGAGTGGGTGCACAGAGGAGGGGGAAAAAGGAAGGGGAGAAAACTTCAGACACAAGAGCAACGGAAGTGCTCTTTGGAAGTGTCAGTGACTGAAACATAGGAGAGATTATTTTTAAAACTCAAATTGCCCAGTATGAGGGAGAAAAATAGTGTAAGAAATGTAGCAAAGTAATAACCCTTGCTGTAGTTAATCAGTCCTTACTATAATTAACTGTAAAAACTGGTTCTGTTGGCTATCTTTACTGTAAGCAACTTGTACTAAATATCAGCTGTTTACCTCCCTTCTTCCAATTTCTGGCAGTGATTAAGGCAACAAGTGTGTCACAACACCTTGTCTACTCTGATCTCTGTTTTTGCTAGCTGTTCCTTTACCTTAAATTAAGATTGTAAAGACAAACTCCTTAGGTCAGGGTCCATCACTTTAGATGCTGCTGTATGTCCAGACTCCAAGACTACGTTATACTGGTAAATTAAATGTGCCTGGGACTTTTCTCTGGCACTGAGTGCAGCAGGCAGGAAGTGGCCTGTGTATGTAGCGTTAAACTCTCCTGCCTTCCGAAGCAGAGTGACTGCACGCAAACTGCCTCTTGGGGCTGCTCTCCAGCCTGTGCTAGCTCCTGAACTGTGATGGGGAGTTACTGGGAGGATGCTGATGGCGCAGGCCAGAAAGGTGCAGGTACTGTACTTAACAGCATGGAGCACTGTCTTACAGGGTCAGGAACGTTCCCTGGCACTGCTGGTTTACTAGTACAGGTGCGTGCCAAAGGATCTGAATATAAATAATAGCAATAATAGTAATAACAACAGTAATAATGACACTTTGGTCACAGACTATAAACACTTTCAGACACGGGATGTTCCCCTTTCAAATGGGTAACAGAACCCAAAACATTGTAGCTAGTTGTATGGTCTACATCAATAACCAGTCATTGACTTCAGCCTACAGTCTCAGCTGGTGTATGACTAAAGACTGATGACTCAATTCTTATCGCTAAATATCTGGATTGATAGTAGCATGAGACTGTGAAGGTGCCTTATGCTTGCATGAATAATATGTTCAATGGCTGACACTGAAGACGTGAAAGTAAGTTTTCAGGCCATGGAGAAGGGCAGCACAAGATCCGTGTACTCTTCACATCCCTTAAAACCACATAGGGAAGGGCTTGCATGACTGATGCCTGCCCCCTGCAAAGGCTGAACTTTTGCTCACTTCTGAGAAACATGCTACAAGTGAAATCTATAAGAAGCATCTCTGAACATCAAGAAGAGATCAATGATTAGCCTTAAAAGCCATTTGTCTGCAAGCCAATGTTTCTGTTTAGTTTCATATATATTATTAAAAATGTATTGGCTGAAAGTTGTATTCTGTTCTTGTACCAGAATCTATTTACAATGTCAATATCAAAAAGAAGATACAAGAGTCTTCATGCAAATAAGCCAGATTTTTGTATTCATAAAACCATGGACTATCCTGATTTACTCCATCACGGATCTGGACCCTAGGCTTGTGTCCATTTTAAGTAATTTTCCTTTCTTTGAGAGCTCTTCAAGTTCTTTAATAGGTCAACTTTTAAGGTAATTAGGGATTATGTGCAGTCATCCCATGCTTTCCAACTGTTCCATGAGGTCTTATGAGAGAGCGAAAGGTTTCTTTCTACATTAATTTGTGATGGATTTGGATTGCCAGTCTAGCCTGGACATTGTCAGGTCTGTGGTTCACACCGCCTGTCTTGTGAAGACCTTCACACAGACTTTGAGGGACTCTAGCTCTACCTATCTGTTCTGTGGAGGAAACATTTTAGCAGGTTTCTGAAGGACCCATGCATCCTTCCTGATGATGGCCTTAGTATAAGACTTGGAGAGCAGAGTCAGCTCAGAAGGCAGGTCCAGAAAGGCTACCGCCATATTAATTTCTTGCACTTTGCTCACCTCTTGAAATTGCTCACTTGCCTGTAATATCAGTGCTGGCAGTTCACAGATCAGAATGCTGCAAACCCTTCTTAATGGATAAAGTTTCCCATTATAAATAAATAAAGTATTTGGAACAGCAACAAATTCTCTGCTAGGCCTCCAACGTATGTGCACCCCTTGAGCAACACCCTGGCTATTGCTGCTCTCTTGTTCTCTGAAACAGTCTATGGTAATAGGAGACGGCATAAAGCCTGAGACAAACACAAGGTTCGTCTCTATCTATATAAGGTAGGTCCTTATATAGATTTTCCGTTACTTAATGAAAGTAGTTGGCCTCTTCCTGCATGGGGCCAGTGACTCTCTGCAATGAGTATGATTTTCAAAATCACCTATGTGGTTTAAGAGTATGCATCCAGTTACCACAAGAGACTTGGCCCTTAGGAATCAAATCCAGCTGACTCCGGATCTATCCATCTGGAGCTTAAATCTTATTCATGCGGTTATTTAAGCACATACAGATGCCAGCGATGAATAATAGGACTTTTGAAGTGTCTGTGTACCTTTTACCCACCGAAAGCAATGGTAATTTGAATGTCAAGATTGTTTTAGGGATTCAAGACAATTTAGAAAACTTATTTCAGCTGCTCTTCATTCTGGAATCAGAGAGTCCATATATATGAATATATTTGCACCAAAAGCTAAATCTGCTCCAGCGCACAGCCACTGTTGTTTCTACCCACGTTTATGTACGTCAGCCTTAAGACAGTGCTCAAGCCTTTCCATTTCTTTTAGTGAATGACTGGGAAGCTGTGAGAAGTTGTTTTAGTACTCTCCAGGTATAAATCATCTGTAGGGTCCTGTGACGTGTATAGCAAGCCTCCAGTGTGCTCAGAGTGTTACATCTACCCATACTGGATATCGTACTGCTAGGAGTATGGATATAGAATTAATTAGATACTTCTCAAGGTTTTGGTGACCTTACGTTACATGGAGTATAGCTGATAAGCAATTCATGACAAACGGCAGCTTTGGACTGAAACAGATGTATTCTGAATTATCCCTCTTCTATGAACATGCTATCAAATCAACTAACAGATGCTCAGAGCTATGCTTCAAAGGGAACACAGGAAGACCTAAAATTTCATTAGCATAAAGGCACTTCTCCATATAATAAATAAAGTCTATAAATCCGTCCCTGTTATTGGTGATATCTGTGTAGCCTCTGAGCACCATGAGCTCTCAGCATTTCATAGGAACCTGAGCATCTGCTCAGCATTTAGTGTGACTGCCTCCTCTTCAAACTAGTTTTCCGAGCCATTTCAATAATGTAACCTAGGTGCCATTTCCAGTACAGAGGAAGAAGAGCAGTGGGATCATGGTGTCTTCTCATCTAGATAAAGCCTTTGGCCATCAGACAATAGAGTTGCCCTCTGGTCCCGTGATTAGTTAAGTCTTGCTTATACTAGGCAGTAGAACAGCTTCAGCTGGAGACGATGCCACCCAGAAAGGCTCGTGCAGGATGGGTTATGGAAGACACGCATTCAATCCCTGTTCTGATTCAGATAGACAGAGGATCTGAATCTGGGTAAAAATTTGAACTGCTAGCACAAGAAACTCTCTAACACATACCGTAGCCAATACAATGCCACTACTTCAGTGTCAGGAGTGATACTTACCTATATGTGTAACTTCCACCTTCATTTCCAAATGCTTTTTGCTTTTGTTTCAAAGTGACCAGAAACCAAAAGCTGTGCTTTGAGCAACTCGTCTAGCTTGAAACTGTTTGAGGGAGAGGAAGATTTGTCCAAAGGTGTAGTTTCCACTTAAATCAATATAAAACACTTTCTCCATTTTTCCACTGTCACCATCAAACTGAAAAAAGGTATTTTTACATGGCTCTGGTCTTGCTCTCCAACTTGTCCTCTGAATCCTTCATTCCTATGAGTGGACACAGTTACGCACTTCAAAGGACAGTGCATGAAATTGTGTCTCCAGGCATTTTAGGATATTCTGCCTTTAGAAAAAGTTTCTTCTGCAAAGTACGCTCCTCACATAAGTCGGAAGTTTCCTTGAAGCACAGGGGTTTGTTTCCCATTAGAAGGTCTCTGGTGCATTGCAAAAACTCCAAGCAGTGGCCTGCTTGTGCAGCTATTCAAATAACTGCTAAAATGGTACAGAAATTATAGAAAGCAATATCCCTGTTTCACTAGTATTACCAAAAAATTGACAAGAAAAATTAGAGTTTTTTGAGTCTAGTTTTGTAACAGATGGTTCTACTTTGAGGTGTCCGTTGTGTCCAGCAGTTCTCTCCACCAAAACAGGAGCCTGTAGCCATTTGTTCCCGTGTAAGAGACTGTCTTTTCTGGCATACTGTTTTCTCTTTTACATTTGTAGTAACATGTACATGAGGAAACAGGAGATTTATTGGCCAAAAGAAAATGAAGGATCGTGCCAAAATACAGGTTACCATAGAGAACACAAGGAAGATTCAGGTCAACAAATACTCCTCAAATCATAAATTACTCGTGTTAATACATGAAAGTACTTGAAAGAAGGCTTGCTAGTAGGTATCCTCTAGCTGAAACGCGCAGGCTACAATTCTAGAATGTAATTCCCAGAAATTTTTACCTGGATGTGCACCAGCTGGTCAGACATGCACTTCCCCGAGCATTAATGACCAGCAAAGCCCTGAGTTGCCGAACTTCACTTCTCTCTAAAATGAGAACAAGTAAAAGAGAGGGTTGTGCTGGAAGGTGGGGTCCCACACTCTAGGGAGGTTGAGAGAGAGGGGAGAACTCAGGCACTTCCATCACAGCTTTCACCATGGCATGAAGTACCCTGAGGTTGGATTTTGTCCTCCTCACCTCTTTCCTGTGAGATGACATTGGACTAAGAAGAAGGGTGATAGAAAGGCAAGAAGGAGAGATTTTCAAAATCCTGTAGATGCCTTCCAACCCAACAAGGTATCATGATTTTGTTATATTGCAGGATCTTGTGATATCATGATTTTTTTTTTTAGTATCAATATTGTGAAAGAGCCAAAGGGTCTATGTCTCTT